GACTGTTTTCATTTATTTCTATAAGAAACTTAAGTTTGGGCAGCTAAAATGGAGAGTCCGCAGACTCCCCGCCCTCTGTCTCATCCCGAGGGCCAGGAGGATGTTGGGAAAGCTCAGGGCCTGGAGAGGGCCCTTCTTCCACTGTCAGGATTTTGTCTGAGGAAAGATTTGTAGATGAATTAACAGAGAGGTCTGAAGACACGGTTCTGTCACCTCTCCAGGCTTCCTGTGGACAGGCAAAGCAATTTTAATCTTAAAAATGGTGTCCCAGAGAGTTGGGAAAAAGGCCGGTGCAGACCAGCCCACACTTCCCTCAGCGGCTCCTGTCTTGCCCACCTGAGGTCAAGGTGCGCTCCTCACCTGCATCCATCCTGGTGACGTCCCCGCAGAGCTCCCTGATACTCTTGACGTCCGCACTGAGGCTCCTAACATTTTCTGTTCCCTTTTCTCCTGGTCAGCTCTGAGAAGGCACAGCCAGCCCACCTCTACTGCCTTACCTCCTGGAGCCCTTGCTCTCCCGCGGCCTCACGTCCGACAGGACCTGTCCGTACGGGAACCAGACAGCGTTATGTTTTCAGCTAGTGATGTTTTTATTATCTTTGATCTTTAAAACTACTGAACAATTTTAGTTCCACAAAAAGTGACGGTTCCTCATGATAGGTCACTGATTTTGGTCACTTGGTAAAAAAAAAAATCACACTGAATAATTGTCCCCAAAACAAAACAAAAAATCAGAATGTTTGGTTCTCGGTTTCATCACGTTTGTCAGTGCAGGTCTGCTGATGGCATCATCCTTCAGTTGCTTTTTCTGAGAGTTTTTATTTTTTTTTCACTTTTGAAGAATAACTTCAGTGGATCCATAATTCTGGGTTTCTGGTTTCTATCTTTCAACATTTTAATCAAGATTATTTCGTAGACCTGAACTGATGCTTTCACAATCTCTGCCACTTCTAAGCTGGGGTCTGGCTCTTGGTTTGTTCCTTTGTCTCTTTAGTTTTATTTCTTTTTAAATTTGGCATGGCTTGGGATTCTATTTTTTATTTTTTATTTTTTGGTTGAAATCTAAATATGATGCATTGGATCAAAGGAACTCAGGGAGATAGGTGTGGTTTAGCATGTGGTTCATGTAAATCTGCCTGGGAGTGAGGCTGTGTCCACCGTATCTGTGGTGTCAGGGTTTAAAGTTGCATCTAGTGTCTTTTCTGGTTTCTCTTACTGCCTTTATATGTCTTTGAGACTCTTGAAATAGGTTCTAAGCATGCATATTTTTAGCAATGATACACCAATGCTGTGTTGGAGGTGTGAGTAAGTAAGAAGAGTAAGTAAGAGACAGTGGACAAAATTCTCTATCCCAAGGTTATGTCCTAGTTTTTATTTATTGTATATATTTTTGGTGAACAACATGGTGTTTGGTTGCATACACACACACACACACATACACATAAATGATTACTATTGCTAAGCAACCTATCATATCTATTACCTCCCATAGCTATCTTTGTTGCACAAACACACAAAAAAAATATAGGAAATGACAGCCATATAACGTTAAGTGAAAAATATAGTGGACATAATCCATCTATATTAGTTCTCAAGATAAATATGTATCTATGTATGTATGTGTGCATATACATCACATTCATGGGAAAAATGAAATGAAAAACCTTAAATTACTAACTATGGTATGGCTAGAATTAAGATACTGTCAATTGTCATTTTTCTCTTCACATATTTATCTACATTTTATAATTCTGATAAATATAAATATTAAAATACCAGAGGAAAAAGAGTAGCTTCCCAGTTTGGAAACACTCTGTGTTTTACAAAGACCATCTGCTTTCTTAATATTTCTGTTCAAATGGGAACAGCTGGAGACTCGTGCAGTATGCCCTGCAATTTGTTTGCGGTGTATTTTTAGGGCGATCCCTTCAATGCTTAATAGTTCTCCCCACGCTGTGGGCAGAAAGGGCACAGTGTCGCTCTCACTCCCAGAGAGAAATGGAACGCATCCCGAGAACCATGCAGGAAGGGGTGCGGTGCACCAGGGGCTCCCGGGGGCTTTTGGCTCCACTGCTGGCTCTTTGGGCTCCAGCGTGTGGGTGGAGGAGGCCATCCTTCCTCTCTTTCTTCTGCAGCTCCTGTGGCTTTCCCACACTCTTCTGATAGCAGATGACAGCCAGAAGGAGCACAGCACCTGCTCCGGTGGTGAGCAGGGTGGGCATGCAATTGCTGCTGTCCGTGAACAGGAAGGGAAGGAAGCCAGGGAACGGATGGGCATGTGATTTGCATTGTCCTTACTGGATCAGCACACTCTCTTGGCAAGTGAGACCACTGCTATTTCCTTTTATCCCATGAGGAAAGGGGCTCAGAGTGGTTTCATACTTTCTGAATGTGGGGTGTGAATCCCAGGTCTTTGCCATTTTCCTGCACAGTTGGGATAATTTAAGGGACCACTCTCACAAGAATATTGCATGCAGGTCCTCAGGAGCTGGGGTTGGGGACTGGTTCCAGGAGGTTCAGATGGACCAGAGTGCAGAGATTTCATTTCACATGACCTGTCAATCTGTCCTCTCTTCCTCCAATTCCACAAATGAGGAGCTTCTTGCAACTGCAATATTCTGTTGTCATCTCCCTTCCCTGCAGTGTATTACATGCACTGGAATACATTGTGGAGCACAAGAAAACCATTACTTGTTTAGAGACTAAAATTCTAACCTCACCTGGATTTCATGTATCTCCAGATCTATCCTCAGACAACATTTACAACGCTGTTTCTCATTATTCTCCTGCATGCACCTCTGAATCAGTCAATAGTTTATCGACATGACCTTGCTATTCCCGGAGCCCATCTGTTCTTCCACCTCTGGGTCTCAAGTTCTTCCAGCTGCCTGGGACGTCCCACCCACATCACCACATCTTTCAAGACTTAGTAGTGTTGTCCCTGCTAATTCTTAGCAATTCTTAGTTATTAGTAGTGCTATTCCTCCTTATCTGGGAAACGTGTTTCCATCTCTTATACTCTCAAAATGTGCAAATGCTTTCAAGGGAGCCAGTCTCTTTCTCTATTCTGGGACGGTGCAGGAGGGGAACACAAAGCACAATGGCTTCTGAGTCCACTGTGACATGCAGCCTGCCACTCATCCTGTGTTACCTCTCAGCATTTCAACTTCTCTAAGACAGAGACCTCATCCTTAAAATGAGGCCATCAAGACCAATGTCACTGAGTCCTCTGGATGAAAAGTGATATTTATTGCCTTGTCCCTGGTAGATGCAGATGCTCAACAAATTCAAGTTAAATACATAATAGCTACAACTCAACCCTCTGCACTATTCTTAGCTGCTTTCTGTGTATGAACTCATCTAATCACAGCTGAGCACTAAAGGGGAACTAGCATCTTGTTCTTCGCCATGGAGATGAAAACACTGGGACCCAGAGATTCAGTGACTCCTGCAGACACACATCAGTAAGACATGCTCAGCCCCCACTCGTGTGTGGTTGGACTGGAGCCTGCTCTTTAACTATGGGTAGGCAGTGCACTTCCACCTTCAATCAGAAGGACCCCAGGAGAAGGGGAAGGACCTGCCTTTGATCTTTTACCTGTTATAGGCATTAAGCAACAATTTAGGGAACTTAAAGAAAACTGAAACCAGGCATGGTGGCATGTGCCTGTCATTCCAGTGGAGGCCGAGGCAGGAGGATCCCAAGTTCAAAGCCAGCTTCAGCAACTTAGCAAGACTATGAGTAATTTAAGGAGAGCTGTCTCAAAATACAATTAAATAAATAAATAATAGCTGGGGATGTGGCTTAGTGTTTAAGTGCCCATGGGTTTAATGCCTGCTGGTACAAAAAAAAAAAAAAAAAAAAAAAAAAGAAAGAAAGAAAGAAAAAAGAGGAAATTGAGCCTGGTCTGTTCTGGAGCGTGAGATGGCATTCTGGTACTCTTAAACTCAAATAATCCATTTCAGATGGCAGGAAGGGGCAGAGCCATTCCCAGCCTTGTCTGTGTGCAAGCAAATGGACTAAGTACGACAGGGCAAGTTCATACCCAACACTGTGTCCACTCCACCCAAGTGCAGTGCCGTGCTGCTTAATACCTCCATCAGGAGAGGGAGAGACTGCGAGGAAGCCTGGCCCTGAAACTCCCCACCGGGGAGAAAAGCCTAGTGCACGCTTTACATCCACAGGGTGTCCTGCAGCCTGGCTGGGCCGCTGTGGACCACTGGTCTCCGTGTCCCCCGTCCTTGTTAATGAGGACTCCAGTGCCCTCCACAGGCCTGCGTGCTCTGCCAGGGGAGTGCTGGTGATCTACTTTGTCCCTTATGCAGAGGCCATGTCACGGATTTATCATTTTTATGACACTAATTTTGGAAATTTGTAAGTGTGTTTTGGCTATACTTTCCAGTATAAAACAATACTATTCATAATATAATCTGTTTTATTGGACGAGAATACATTATTCTAATATAAATAACACTCAGTGGACAATAATTCAGGGAATTGCAAACCAGGACAGAGTCACAAAATAGAGAGGTGAACACACTAAATGTATTGCTGGAGAGAGGCACGGAGGAACTGAAGGTAAGGACGCGCTGACCTCCCGGTGGTGACAAACCTCTGGCTTCCCCAGAGCCTCCGCGAAGCCCCGGGCGGGCTCCCGCCGCCGCCCGGTCGCCCCGCAGCACGATATTGAAAGGTTTCCTCTCCCGGCGTCGCTCCGGAGGGGCCCTGGCTGTGCGCTGCCTGCGAGGCTGGGAGCCGCAGCCCTCCGCGGCCGGCGACCGCCTGGTGCCCAGCTCCGGGCGCGGCTGCTCGGCCCTGCACCGCGGGAGGCCGCGCTAATTAATTTCTCCTCCTTTCCCGCACCCCCCCGCGCGGGGATCTGGTTTCAGAATCGACTTCCTGGGTTTGTCCTCTTTCGCCAACCAAATTAGCGGAATGCACGGCAGAGATCTCATCTCCACCCAGAGGCGGCAGTCAGTCTCCGGGGGAAATCAATACCGAGTCCTTTTGGAAAAGAAAAAGGAAAGGAAAGGAAAGAAAATGCTGGTCGAATTTGTTTTCAGCACCCCTGAGGCTGGAAAGGGATCCCGGGAAGGTCCTTCTCTCCCGAGTGGTGGAGTGCATCCCCCACGCCCGAGGGCTCCCGAATGCATTTTGGGGTTTGAACTAGATCGTGTTCCTGTCAAAACGCAAAGGCTGCATCGATTCACTGCACCAGGCAAAGTAGAACCGCAAAAGGCAAAGTAACAATTCAAAATAATAATTACCTCGAATTTATCACCAGTTCTCCTAGTCCCGCTTCGGTCTCATGTGCACATTGTTGAAATTTATCTATTGGTCTAATTACAGCACCAAGGTGCCTTCTACCTAGCACCCCGTCGGGACGTGCGTCCCCGTGTTTCTGCCAGTCTCTGGCACGTCTGCCGCTGCAAATGCATGAGAAAACAAAGAGAGAGGGCTAAGTGACAGGTCTGTGGATGCTGAAAGTAAGCTGTGACCTAAAATGGGAACTGTTCGCTTAATGAGCGACAGCTGAAGGATTGTGTGTGCAGGCTCCCGGCTGGGGTCTGGCCTCGGCCAGCAGATGGCAGCAGAGCCCCGGGATCCGGCCGGGCACCGGCTCCAACCGTGGTAAATGCCCTCCTTCATTGCCATTCATCTTCACTTGTCAGAGTCTTCCTAAGTGCCTTCTGTAGAACTGACCCCGAAATTGCATCATTTAATCCATAATCATATATTGCCAACATCTCTTCCTTTTACCGCTTATCAATGGCATTAATTCAGAGGAAACAGGGACTGCTGGTAGCTTTAGGCAATCCGTTGCAAAAAGGAAACATTCATAAAGGCAGGAACACTGCAAGGGACGGCCAACCCGCTTAAAATAAAGAAATGGATTTTATGGGAAAAAGAGAAGCACACCAAAAAAATTAATAAGAATAGATTCTATGCTCCCCCCTTCCTTTGCTCTTTGCGAACACATTCTGCTCTGCAATCAAAGCAGATTTTTAGTTTAAGGTGGCCATTGAATTCTCCCCACATTTCCTAAGATTCTATTTTTAAATATACCAGGAATTGATGTGTAGGACTGAATTACACATTATCAAAACTAGGTCCGGTAAGAGCCCCATGCATTTCAGCTGCTGCTGAGTGGTCTAATGATTGTAGAGTAGAAGAGTTCTCTCCGGGAAAATGATAGGATACCATAAATTGACAATTGACAGCTGTTGGCATTGCACGGATTTAATTAAATTAGGGTTAAATTGATGAGCTGTAAGGAGAAAAAAGTCTCCCATCCCAAACACTCTACATTTCTGAGAGCTAAAGGAATGCTTTGCTTCCTAGAAAGATGGCCATGACCTCCAGAGACTCTAGATGGTACTACAGATTCACCCTGTAGTTTCCGTGCCACCAGTGGTTACAGTCTTTCCTTTTCAGGATACCTAAGGTGCTTGCATCAGAAAATCTACTTTAAAGTGCAGAATTATTTTTTAAAGGCAAGGTTTAAATGAGATCATAGGAAATCGACAAAGTCTGAGAAAGATCAGATGGATGTGCTTACATGTGTTTAATTTTAGATCCCATATTTAGATTAATTTTTAACTGACTATCACAGTCTAAAATGTTCTAGAAGTACTTAATGGTGTTATGCTGCCACATTAATGAATTATGCTAAATTGGAATGAGATTTTCCTGAAACATACTAGCAAGTGAAAGGAGGAATAATTTGCTCTGAAGTGGTGTTGGGTTTTTTCTCCCTTGGTTATTTTCTGTGTGCATGTGTGGTGGTGTGGGTGGGTGGGCCATGTAGCTATGAGATTGTGCATGCATTCACAGCCCCTTTTAATGAAGACAGCTTTCTCAGAATGCAGCGGTGCACATGGGCTCAAACCCAGATGTACACATACATACCTGTACACATACATGCCTGGGCCTGGTTTCCACAGTGATTCACGGGACACACACAATTTCAAAATCATATTTTGCCTTGCAAAATAAAGTGATTAAGACATTCTCTCTCTTATTATTGAATGATGATAAATCCCTATAAAGGGACTGAAGGATAATAATTTACAGAAAATTTCATGGTCTTTTTTCAGAGCTATTTGGTCAGAACAAAATCCTTTTCCATGAATTGTAAGGCAATGGCCCTCGGAAAAGGGACTTCCTCTTTCAGTCCCCACTCATGTGCACCACAGGGTGCTCATGGGTGTTCACCTTGGCAAGGCATTTTAAGCAGGGGTGATCTTTGGAACAGGCTAAGTTCTTTTCCCAGGCTCCTGATTTCATTTTTCTCAATCCATCTCCCTCCCACTCATCATGCATCAATAAAAAATTTCACTTTTACCTTCATAGAATAATTTCCTTCTTTTCAACACACACATGCATCTATAAACGACTGCTATTAAAAGTTCATTGTGTGCCAGTTCCTGTCATAAAAATAATACATCATATAACTTTAATTCATTTCTCATTTTTCTGAGAAAATATTATTTCTAATTTTACCAATCAAAATTCTGAATTTTGGGAATCAAGCAACTTGCCTCAGGGCTTACGTACCTAATAAGCAGAGAGGAATTAAAACCTAGCCCCACCTGATCCTGAATCCTGCACTGTTAACAACTGTTAAAAGGCCTCGTCATATTGTATGAAAATCCACTCTCTTAAAAAAAGTACACTTAGAAAATTCTAACTAAAAACTCTTCCCGGGGTCCTTCATCCACTTCCATTCACTTACTGCCTCTCCACTGTCATTAGTTCCCTAACAAAATTCCTTCTCCTACTTGCTCTGTGACAGTTGCTATTTTCTTGCAGCTCCCAGCAGTGGGAATATAGCTGCATAAACCTTCTGGTACGAGTTGGAGCTCGGACTGTGTGTAGTGCACTTTAGGAAGCCCTGAGCACATGCTGCCAGACCTTTATGTTCTCTTCATCTTGAAGAAGTTTCAGAACAGCTATGTGCAGTGTAGCATATTTATTTTGTTACATTTCTGCAATGATCTGGGAGGCTGTTAAAAAATGCAATTTCTGCCTATGCATCAGACTGAGTCTCCAGACTGCCCCACGGCCAGTCGGACTTTGGCAGTTGTAGGCTCTAGACTGCCCTCAATGATAGGCTGGCCCCTGCAAGCCCCAGTCATCGGAATGGCACTTAAGGACCCAGGTTACTTAGATAGATACAGGGGCCGGACTCTTCCACCACCCTGTCATCTCTACGCGTGCCCTGGCACCAGGCAGAATTCTTTAGTCCAGGCTCCAGGCCTGATGTGGACTTAAGTCTCCAGGCCTGCCCAAACATGGACTGACCTCACACCACCAGGCTTAATGTGCACCCCAGTACCAGGCGAGCTTCTGTAGCCTTGGTCATTAGATCAGTGTTCATGGGCCTAACCTCTAGGCCAGCCTCTGCTGACAGAGTGCCCAGGTCCATTCACTGCCAAGCCAGTCCCTAAGGCTGTGGCTTTAGGTCTGTCACAGCATCAGACCAACAATCTTGGGCTCAAACATCAGATGACCTCCACACACCCAGGTTCCAGGTCTTCCTAGTGACTTGTCATTCCCTGCAACCCACATTCCAGAATGTTCCGTACAGCCTTATGCTCCAGCAAACCAGAGTCCAGGCTAGCCCAATGGACCCCATAGCTGAACAGGTCTTCGTGGACCAAGTCTTCAAGACTACCCCTATATGCCCAGGTCCCAGGCTGACCTCCTAAGCCCAGAAACCCATACTAGCCTTCTCAAATCTGTCCTCTAGGCCAATCTCTGGTCACCCAGTCTTGAGCCTATACCAGTGGACAAAGGTTTCCAAACATGTCCTCATGATCCCAGGCTCCAGGAAAGACCCAGTGGTCTCTAGGCACCAGGCCAGGGTCTGTGATTCTAAGTTCCAGATTGAGTCCTTTGGATGAAGGGTCCCTACAACCCCCAGTCTCTAGAAGACCCATGGCCCAACAGATTTAGACCCTAGGCCCACCCAAGTACACCTTGGTGATAGACTAGAACCTGTGTATTGAGGTCTAGGATCATTACTGCAGACCTAGTCTCCAGACTAGCCCCATGGATGCAGATCCTCAAACCACTCCCACAAACTCAGGTCTGGGTTCTGTCCTAGTGTTTTCAGGCACCCATCTTGCCCCAATACCAGACTAGAAACTTTGGATTCAGGTGCCAAGTCCATACCAGAGCCTGATAACATTGGTAGACTTAGATTCAAGAGCCAACCTTTTGCCAGATTGGCTCCTGTAAACCCGAGCTTTAGACTAGTCCCCATGGACACAGGTTTCGGGTTTGTTCTCATGGATCCAGGACCCAAACCCATCCACAAAAATCTGATCAGTAGTCCCACCCCAGTGGATCTAGACTTCAGGTCTAATCCCATGGACCACGGTTTCAGGTCTGACCACTGACCCATGTCCCAGACTAGTCTGCACAAACACTTCAGCAGCAAGCAAACCCTTAAGGCCATGTCAGATAACCTACCCAGAATCTGTATGGGCTGATTGGTGAAGGGCTATTTCAGACTAAGTCAGTATGCAAAAACTAAATTTAGTTCCTATTTCTTCAAATGTATACATAACAATGTTAGGCAACAATAAACATGAAAAACCAAGGAAACAACACCAGCAAAAGAATACAATGATCACCCAGTATCTGACTCCAAAGAAACAAATATATATTTACTACCAGCCAGATACTTTCAAATGTTTCAGGAAAACTTAGTGAATTTCAAGAAGTTATAGAGAAACAAAATCATGAAAATAAATAATCAAAATGAAAAATGTGACAGAAACTGAAACTGGATCTTATGAAATCAAATTCTGAAGTTGAAAAATATAATGAACGAAATAAAAAATGCAATAAAGAGCACCAAGAGCTGAATTAGTCAATCAGAAAAAATAATCTGGGAATTTGAAGGTAGGCTACTTGAAAATATACAGTGAGGGTAGAAAAAAAAAGATAGAATGAAAAGAAACAGAAACTTTACAGGAATCATGGGACATTATCAAAATTGCAAATGTTCAAATTGTAGAATTAAGAAGGCAAGAGGAAAAGACAAATGTATAGAAAGTTTACTTAAAGAAATAATATCAGAAAAATTCTGTATTTCGAGAAAGAGATAAATATCCAACTACAGAAAGATCAAAAGCCTCAAATCAGATTAAATCCAAACGAGACTACAGCAAGACATATTACACCAAATTGTCAAAAAGAAAAATAAAGAGTGGTTGCTGAAGTAACAGAAGAAGCAAATATCACATAAGGAGTTTCAAATAAATCCAGCAGTGGATTTTTCAGCAGAAAAATAGGTCAGGAGGGAAAAGGTTTCATATTCAAAGTCCTGGGGAAAAGGGCCTCAAACATACCAACCAATAATATAGTGCCCGGAAAAGTTATTTTAGAAATGAATAGAAGTGTAAGTGAAGTTAGCCAGTCCCAAAAAACCCAAATGCCAAATGTTTCCTATGATATAAGGAGGTTGATTCATAGT